AAACCAGCCGATATATCTAGAAAGTGTTTAATAGTTTATATTAATATATCTTCTCTAATTTTTTTCAGATTTTAAAAACGTCATACTCCGCATTTAACGTACTTCAAAAACAAAATTAAATAATATAACTTAGAGCTTACTTGAGCATATTAATTATGTAGTTTTTCGCAAATTAATGACACTAAATTTTAAAATTTCTGTTTATGTATTTATTACAACCTTAAATATTCATTCTGGTTGTAGGAATGTTGACACGAATATATGCAAACACAATATAGACACAGTATAATGACAAAAAAATACTGTGCAATATATTTGATTTGATTTATAAGCAGCATTAATGCTGGTTTCAGCACTAAAGTCAGAAAAAAATAATATCTCAGTCTATACTTTTGTAAAAAAATAATATCTCCGTCTATACTATTGTAATATGTTGCGTATAAGATATATGGATACGTATTTTTCTGCACATTTATCATACTTTATAGATATATAGATAAGTAATTTGAAGAATATATCCCAAGTTTATTACACATCACTTTTATTGCTACACTAGTAGGTTTGTATTTTTATATAATAAAATGAGAGGCTTTGCGGAAAATACGATATTCCCTGTAATTCCGATGGACATGAAAATTTTATTCAACAGAAACGCAATAATATGCGTGACTGTAAAGGACCGCAATATCCCTCAACAGGTGCAAGTAGGAAAACTTTTACAATTAGAGTTACTACACTATTCATGAGTGTGGAAAAGAACATGTATTTTATAATAAATGATTAAATGACATCATGTTGATTTTTTAATGACCGTAATTGGTAGTACTAGGGTTGACAAGATATTGAAGAATGTAAACTATACATAGTCTATCGCAAGACATGTTCGATTACATTTAAATAAAATTTACTGATACGATAATAAAATAACATATTATATCAATGTTAGTATTTGTCGATCTTATTATCATTAGCTAAAATTCTAAGAAGTGATATTTTCCAAAAAAGGTGCGCAATAAATATTTATAAATACCATTTTTGTAGTTGGGTTTACACAAATCATACGCTGTATTATAGTTAAATAAGGTCATCCGATTCGCAATCCGCGCAAGCAATTATATGCAATATGTACTCAAATAAATAAAATTTGTACCAATCGAACAGTCGCATTCGGCATTTAGTGTGTGTGAGATTTAAATATTAATTTGTAGTATTTTATGTTCACTAAAAGCATAACTTATTTCATAAAATATTATACAACCTTCTATATTAAATTCAATTTTTCTTAAACATGGTACTACTTAAATTTAATTAGTATATTTCAGAAATTTCAGAAAAGATAATTTTCGCATCGTTTTAAACTACTTTTTTAGATACTTTATAGATAGAAAGAAGCTATACTTTTGTATAATATTTCGATAAGTTGTTTGAAAGAAAGCGATCCAAATATGCAAATGCTTTCTTTAAATTTTTTTATATACACCGTTAGCGGTATATGGCGACCAGTTGAGTGGTCATCAAATGGTGCCAAGCTGCTGTATAATGTATTTACCTTTATGGTAATATTCTCGGAGTACTTTTTGGTGTTAACTCAATTTATGGATATAGTTCTTATTGTTGATAATATCGATGATTTTGCCACTAATACTCTAATGTTCCTATCTATTGTTGCCGTATGTTGTAAAGCGACTGTCGTTGTGGTACGTCGAAACGCGATCATCAATTTAGTGGAAATATTATTGAAAGCACCATATAAACCTCGAGATGAGGATGAAGTAGCTATACAAACAAAATTTGATAAATTCATCAGGTGGGTTCATATCTTTCTTAAAACGTTCCAATATTAAAAGATTATTATAACTTAAAATATTTATGCAATAATTCAATTCGAATACGTTCAACATGTACTTTTTCTAAATCGTACAAATTTGATCAGCACTAGTTGTTTCTATAACAAATTATGAGTCCTTTAGCTTTTACTACATGTTGTTGATCATATATTTTAAAGCATATACTTATTTTACATAAAAATGTAGTAATTTTCTATTCTCTGTTTAATTAATAAACTTTTAGTTGAAGAAGTTTCTTATTCCAATTTCATTTTAAATTATAGCAATAATTCGCAAAACACATGTACAAAATAATTAAATATAATATAATAATTATAAACATTATGATTATAAATTTCATTAAATTATAAATGTAAATAAATGCTGATAGAAGTTTATATAAAATTTCATCTCGGTTCTACGTTTGCAGATCATGCTCGATAAAATATTCACTTTTAGCAACAAGTTCCGTTACAAGCACTACAATAGGATCAGTATTAAATGCTATGCAAGGTCATCTGCCTTATCGAATATGGCTGCCATGTGATTACAATGTAACTACGACGTTTTGGATTATATCCGTTCATCAGATCTTAGCAATAATTTTTGCCACGATGATAAATGTTGGCACGGAAACCTTAGTCTTCGGATTGATTTTACAAACGTGTGCTCAGCTTGAAATTTTCAAAAGTCGTCTTCACAAGTTCATAATTAAAAA